GAAAAAATGTTCACAATCATTAGCCATTAGAGAGATGCAAATCAAAACAACAATGAGATACCATCTTGCTCCAGCACTAGTAGCAAAGTTCAACAAGACAAAAAATAACAAATGCTGGCGAGGATGTGGAGAGATTGGGACTCTCATACACTGCTAGTGGGACTAAAATGATACAACCACTGTGGAAAGCATTATGATGATTCCTTAAAAAGTTGGTATTAGAAATACCATTTGATCCAGAAATTCCATTACTAGGTATATATCCTAAAAAAGTGAGAGCCAGGACAAGAACAGATATATGCACACCTATGTTCATTTCAGCACTATTTACAATAGCAAAAAGATAGAAATTTTGTAGGAAAACCTACATTTCCATCAACAGAAGAATGCATAACCAAGCTATGATACATACACACAATGGAATATTATGCAACCCTAAAGAATAATGTAAAATCTGCAAAACACCACATAACATGGATGAACTTGGAGGACTTATATTGAGTGAAATAAGTCAATATAAGTAGAAGGACAAATACTGTATTAGTTTGTTATTGTAAAAGTCAAGGAAAGGTTTATCTATAAAAGGAACCTTTCTTTGTTGGTTACCAGGGGTGGGAGGGGAGAGGAGGGAACACTGCTAGATAGGTAGAGATAAGTATTGATTTGGGTGAAGGGAAGGGCAATGTACCAAATGTGAGTGATCAACACAGTGGCATTGAGGAAGAAGAAGACATAGAGAGGTGTGTGGGAGGTACAAACAACAAAGATGAACCCTTTTGCACATACAGTACGGCATTGTCAGTGATGGCAAACATTTATATACAGGTGGATAGATGGGTGGACAGGTGACCAATTAGGTATGTCCAGGCAGGTGGAGGTGTTCCCATGACCATATATAGGGTTAGCAAACAATGCTTCTATATGCATATTTGTATGCACTGTGGGAATGTCCAGGTATATAGTAGAGCTGACAAGGGACAAGGTTGTGGTGGCTTCTTGGCCACAGCCAGCTACCCAGAGGGAGAGTGGTTGGACCTGTGGGCTCAGGACTGTGGTCACAGGGGACACCAAGCTCAATTGGCACAACATACTACACAAAACATTGTTTCACATCCTATTGTGATGAATAGCAACTGGAGTCTTGAAAGCTTGCAAGCGGCCATCTAGATGCAACAGTGGGTCTCTCCTCAACCAGAGCAAAGA